ATAATATTGACATGAAGAATCAATGAATCTCATTGTTTTCCTTCCCAGGAGACATTGTAGAACTCTCAGGCAATCATTATCAAACCAATATATTATCAGAATTATAATACTGTACTATATAGAATGATCTTTACATGTCCTGAATTTTCTGTCCTTAATATATAAGTTGTCTCTGAATTTTCTGGCTCTGAGGATACTGCTTCCCTATCCAGAACAAAATATGAGATCCGGCTCGGTTTTTCCACTGATATCAGGCAATCAACATAAATAAGGATTTTGCAGGAAAATGCTTGATGATGATTTTCTCTCCATTGTCTTGTATGGAAAACAATTTTTATTAAATGTATATGGAGACTTTCAGTCATTCAGGTCATGATTGTCCCAAAGGTGCTTTCTCAAAAGGCAAATGGACAAACAAAGTTGCCTTTTGAAAAAGCATATTTGGAACATTCTTATTAAATATTACAGTGTAATACAGCCTTATAGGGAACAAATCTCATTGAGGATTACTACAGATTATTTCTAGATAGTACAGGAATTCATTTTAACATTTACATTTAATTTTAACAATCCCCCAGTTTCAATTTATACCAATAGTTATGTATCTCTAAATGACCTTTAGTGACTTTACACAGCAATAAATATGAAGTAGGGCCACTGACATCTCTAATATGCTTACTTATTTTTTCTTGTAAAGGAATGAAAGGAAATCTTCCAAAGAAACTGTGTTAATAGCAGATAAATTGCTGTTAACATAGAATGATTTGTGCTGCAAACAACTCAGATGTTATTCTATTACACCCTTATAAAACCATTTGGCTTACACCCAATTCTTAAGAGGCAGTGCGCCATCTTCTGATTAAAATGTATAAAATACAGTTTTAAGCAGATTTCTAGTTTGTATGTCCAGTACTCAACAGCCAACTAATGTTGAAACAAAGAACAACATAACATTTATCCAGAAAGCCTGTTGGAATATATTTTTTAAAAACTTCTATTCAACATGCCTGAATACATTTAGGTGGATTTTAGAAACTCAAGGTTCACTAAAAAAAATTAATCTGGGATGTAATCAGGGAGTCTGATTTTGACCATCTCTCTCTCTCTCTCTCTCTCTCTCTCTCTCTCTCTCTCCCTCCTCCCCCCTCTCTCTCCCTCCCTCCCTCCCTCCCTCTCTCTAAGAAGGGGGAGTATCTTCTCTATATCACAATACTCTATTTGTGAAGTGACTTCCTCACAACTGGTGCCAGTATATTATATAACCTTGCATTACATTTTGACTACTAAAATATATTTGATTACCTGGTCATTTTAAATAACTTTATTTATTTGACTGGTTGATATGGTCCTTTTATTTTATATAATTTTTTGCCTTTTAGTGCTATACATATTGCAGTGTTATTTTATATTCTATAATTCCCAGCCACCAGGTTTGTTGGCTTTGCTTTCTTGGAATAATGGACACTTTTGTCCAATGAATTTGGAAACCACCAGATCAGGGAAAGGGTTTTCTGTAATTCCCTTGTATATAAAATATGGAGTACTATAAAAGCTATAAAGATGTTCCTATGCTGGCTGAGAAGTCTGGAAGCAGTAGTCCAACAAATCAGGGGGAGGGGGGGTCATATGTTTGAGGAAAATTAGGATACAATGTTAATATTGTTTTTAAAATAATAATTTCATTAATTCAGAGAAATAAATGTTTACCTTCAATATTTTGTGGGCCTATGAGATTCATTGCTTGATGGGCTGGATATTCCACTCTGGGTCTTGCAATGCCCAACTGTTCCATCACACCGTGCAGAAGTCTTTGGATGTCAGCTTCAGAAACTCTGTCTGGGCTCCTAGCACTGTGACTGAAAGTCAGAGCCAGCCTGCAGACCAGCAGAAGGGACAGGCTGCAGAGCAAGGCTGAAGTCATGGCGATACCCATCTATATTCTGTAACCTATGCCAAGACAACAAGGAACTCAATGAATGATGAAATGAAAGGCCACGACACTCCTTCAGGTGTCCCCAACACCTGAAATATGCTCCTGTCCAGCAGAGCAGGCATTTGGGGAAGGCTGCTTTAGAAGAATACACAAAGGGATTTTTGACATTACCACAAATGTCAAAAGTCAAGTTCATTGTTGTGGACTGGAAAGTAAATAATGGCCTGGTAAAAATCAATTTGAAAACTGATGTTTAGTTTCTCAGAGGCTTTATGAGGAAGCCTGCAATATATTCACTGAATTCTGTCCAGGTTTTCTTTATTTAGTTGTCAACTTTGTGGTTCAAGGAGGCTTTAGCGAATGCAGAGAAGAAGCTGGGACCTTAGACTTTGGGATGCTCCCTTGCAAGTTAACAGGATTTCAAATTTTGGTCCTGGTTTGTTTCTAAGCATCAGTCACTTTCCAATGAAATATTATGGTGCTCTCCCTCTGTTCCATGCTGTGCTGTGCACTTAATTTGGGAAGGCTAGGAAACAGCTTCTCAAATACGTCAAGAGGCTGGCAGCCTATCACATTCACCGCATCAATTAAATATTATCCCCTCTTTGCCTTTCTGCCCCCATTTGGCTTTGTTTCCTGGAGGCGGAAGGCTGTTTGGTCCCCTCAAATGAGATTACTCTAAATGGCAGCAGTGATTAATCAAAGAAGATCCAACAAACAAAGCTGATGTCAGCTTTGTGCTCCTAAACGTTCCCAATCAAACCTTCAATTCGGCTTCTTCACGATGCATGCTGGGAAAAGTCATGTCCTATGAAGCCGGGCATATGCACCATTATTATTATAAAAAAAAGAGGAGGGGGACACAGAGAGAGCGTAGTTGGGGAAATATTCACTACTACTCATTTTAGCATGTTACAGACAGGATTTGCGGTCATTTTACTATTCTAATTTAGCTGGTTTCCAGTTGCATTTCTTTTCTTGCTATATTTCCCCAAATATACAGATAATTTCACCAGATAGGAATCGGCTAAAAAGAAAGGTCGGTGTGACCCCCTCCCTCCCCTCGCCTTTCTTTTCAACTCCTCGCAGAACTGTATTATTTCTCTTGCACCAGAAATTTTGAAAAGATCTCGCCATAAAATTGAGGCGAACGATAGTAACAATAAATGAAGAATAGCCAGCCCCCGGCGCCCATTGCAGAAGCCTCACAATATAAAAACCTTAGCTCGCCATCCTCCTCAGCCCCCCCGCTCTTCTCTCTGAGCCGCCCGGACATCCCTTGGAGCTGTCAAAAACCGTCGCGCGTTGCACTCACCTTTTGGATCCGGTGAGCGCGATGGCTGCGCTCTTCTGGCCCGTGTGAGGCTTGCTTGCCCAGGCGCCACGCCAGAGAAGCAGCGGCTGAACGCGTATTGAGGGAGCTCCGTGGTCACAGCTTTTCCTCTTCCATCCACCCACCCGCCACCCCCCGCCCTTGCTGTGCTTTTTCTTCCGTCCGTGGCGTGTGCGTGAATGGTTGCCAGGATTCCCGGAGGTAGATCGCAACCCGACAGCTGGGCTTTTCGCCTCCCATTACACAGGCTGCGGGGAAGGCCCTCAAAAGCAAGGATGCCCAAGCCGGCTTTGATTTTTTTTGCTAATATCCCTGGAGCTGATCCTTCCAGATAGATATGAATTCATTTATATAAATGAAATTCAAGAAAGTCAGCAAATGCCAACCTTCTCCTGCTGATAGTGTAAATGTGTCATGCTAGAATTGCTATCATAAATTGAGGACAGTTGAGCAAATATAATTTCATTTTCAATTTCACATACTATTAATTTGCTATTCTCTCAAGGATCGCTTGCTTCCTCCCCCTCCCCCTTTCTCATAAAACTAGGATGTTAGACTGAAATATGATTTGTTAACCCAATGAGATTTGAACATGGATCCCTTCAATCCCACTCACATTTATTGTAGCTGCAGTTCTACAATCTTGGTGCCTTTCAGAAGCGTAGTCTTTAGTTTCCAGAACTTTTAGCATTAGCCACAGTAGGTTAGCTATGGTAATAGCCACATAGGATTCAAAAGTATGAGCTCTTTGATGCTATTAAGGTTAAACTCCTACTTATCTAACTATATGCTGGAGTGAAAATTTTCATTCTCCTTAGAATGCTGTAGGATTAAATAATGTAGATCCTCTTTCAGATATGAAAGAAAAAAGTATTGTTTGCATTCAGTATCTGACTCAGTATCAATATATTGTATTTCAGTTCAAAATAAAGGACATCATACCTTCCAGCCAGTGTTTGTTCCATATAACTAATGTGTTTGCCAAAGTTAAGCACAGAGCTTCAAGAGAGTCAAATGTATTTCCTGGATAGGGTTAAATCCCTACCACATGATTTGTTCATCAACTAAGACAAAGTGTGACTTGCTTTTGGCTTAGTTTGTTGCATGAATTCAGTAATTTGCAATTTATTCAACAATGCACAGGATAAAGAAAGTGTAGATTACAATGAAACATAACTATTAGCATGAAACAACTATTCTTTTGTTTTGTTAATGATGACTTTATCAGTGTGAAAAATCATGTCTATGGAGATTCTCAGTCATCTAGGTCATGGTTGTCCCAAAGGTGCTTTTTCAAGAGGCAACTGGACTCTCTTGGTTTTTCTTTGAAGACATTTTGCTTCTCATTCAAGCTGCTTCTTCAACTCTGACTGGATGGTGGGGAATGGAAGGATATATTTTTCTTGCAGACAGTTGGTCATTTGCATTTTTTAGAGAGTTGTTGAGGCCATTTTGGAGGTTTATCTGTATCCTCAGGGTCACCGGAGTAGTACAAATGGGAATGGAGCCTCCTTGGAACTGCTGAAAGGCTCCTCATCCTTTTTGGATGAGAAACAAAACGTCTTCAAAGAAAAACAAGAGAGTCCAGTTGCCTCTTGAAAAAACACCCTTGGGACAACCATAACCTGGATGACTGAGAATCTCCACAGACATTAATTGGATGTAAACAGCTTTTCATGAAGGCAGTATATACATAGATGTGTAAAAAAAAATCTAAATACAACATATACAATATAGAAAAAAAAATTAAGCTTTTTTTATTTCAGAGGTAAGAGTTTTTAGCATTCTTCTCCCCAAACTATACTAAAACTCTATTTCAAATTTAAATAATTTATATATAGTATACAACAATTATGAATCATTTCAATAGGGCAACTTGATCAAAATGCTGTGCATCTAAACAGTATGGCTTTATACAATGTATCTCAATCACATATGAATTATACAATATCCTATATTATAGTACAGTCATAAAAAAAAAGAACTAGCAAGTTCTTTCACTACCTTCTAAACCCCCTCTCCCCAGTAAAGAACATAAGACAATAACATCCATTCAGCAGCTCTGGAACATTCTTCCATTTGCTGTGCTAGAATTCTCAATACATCTCCACTCCAATTGTAAAACGTGTGATGATTTGATACATGTACCTAACATTCTACTAAGTCACCATTTGTTTGAGTCTACAAAAAAGTGCACCTGTCCAAAGTATGGATAAAGTACATTTGCTGTTGTCATAGAGGACCTAAATTACCACTCCCAGAAATAAATTTTACAAATACAAGCCTTCTAGATAACCAAATATTATAAAAAAGCACGGCACATTTGTGAAACTTAATCCCTAAATTAAGTATTTTGCAAATGTAGTATTAAGCTTTTTGTTTTCTAGAAACCAATCCTTTAACTGTTTATCTCTGAGTTAAGTTACAGTCAACTTCCAGGTTCTCATTCATAAAATTTGGTAAAACTTAAAAACAAGTACCAAAATTAGGGCTCTTGAAATAAATGCTACTCAGCAGAACTTATTCAAGCTTCATTCGCTCAACAGAACTTCAAGTTTCAGTCCCAAATAAATTCAAGAGACACACTTAAGACAATTTAAAGAAAGATAAAAGCTTGGATTGAGCTTTTTTGCCAGCAGGAAAATTGTCTTGAGTGGAGTTCCACTCAAAATGTTCTTTTTCCCCCTGCACAACACAGCAGCATTTGCTTTACTGTTCTGGAGTACAGTCCTGTGCAGATCTGGGGAAGCATAAGTGACTTCAGGGTAAGGGAAAATGACACCAAAAGCTTCCACCAGTGGGATCTGTCTGTGAATAAGGTCTTCAAGGAGAACCGATTCTGGATCCAACATTTTCAGTTCTACATTTACAAGCTTAGATATAAGAGCACAGAAATATGGCTGGGATCAAACCATTATAAATCAAGAGGCTTGACAATTGGAAGAAGTTTTGTTGTGGGGATTGGGTTTTTGGGTGATCCTCTATACCGAGACTTTGTTCCTGCCGTTTTCCTGAGAACATATTTATCAGGTGTACCCACTGAAGCATTTAAGCTTGTGTTCGTTTTCACAATAGTTTTTGGTGCTTCATGGTTAGTTAAGTCCTCAAGGACAGATTTGGAATTATTATTAAACGTTTCTTTGATGGTTTGCTCTGATGGATATATCAAATGAGGATAGGATTTAGGAAAGAGAGCCAACTCATCATGTTTTTCTTTGCATGTAAGTTTAGAAGGTAGTGAATTTGTCAGTGAATTGTCTGTAGTTACTGCATAGGAAGACAATGCAGTTTCGTAGCTCACTGATTTAGCAAGAGAAGTGCAGCCATCACCAGCTTGTTTACAAGTAACTGACTGTTTATGAGTTTCCAAGAGGGAATTTATTCTCCTTACAGATTGACGGACTGGGGTACGTTGAAATCTAAGCACTGGCTTTCTTCTGGTTGCAGAATGTGATTCGTTTAATGAAAGTTTGTTGAACCAATGTATATGATCAGCCACTTTTCCTGAAGGGGAAGATTTAGATTTGTCATAGGATTCCGTTTCAAGAAACAGTTGGTCATTTTTATCTCCACCTTCTGAGAAAGAGGTCTCTTTCTTTGAATTACAGTATTTAGATTTCTTTTTTGGACAGATAAATTGCTTATTTGATTCCACTATCTCCTTCTGCACATTATTTACATTATTTAATTGAATAACATGAGATGTAATCAACTGGTCTACTTCTTCTAATTCATCACTTTGATTTAAAATATGAACTGGATGATCACTCTTATTATTTTGGAAGAGGAGTCCATTAATAGCATTGACCTGATCAATGGTATTCGATTTAGTGACTGATTTTGCAAACTGAGGTTCCTCCTTAACATCTACTGTCTTATCTGTTGTTTTAAAGAAATCGTTCAATTTAAGTTCTGGGTTCTTGAATTTTAATACATTTGATGTTGAAGGCTCCATTTCATATAAATCATGAAGGTTGCTTCCAGATTCAGAAAACGCTTTCTTAATTCTCAGTAGCATGTGTTCAGTTAAATTATTTTCATCCTCAAAAAAAGATGTTTTTTTTTTATTGCTATCACATTCACTATTTGCAAACATGGGCTCAATAGGAATAACTAATGGCTTTCTATTGGCAGAAGCAGTTTCGGAAGAAGAGATTTCTGTTTCAGGACATCCCATTAATGAAATTCTGGTCTCCTGAGAGTCTGTGGTTGCAGGACCAATCCAAGACATTCGATAGTTTGCTGCAGTATGATGGCTTGGTATTTGTAAATTTTCTTCTGACTTGCTGATGTTTTTCAAACCTTAAAAAATAGACACTTTAAAAAAAATCAGCAAAATCGAAATTGTACACATTAAATGAACATTAATACTATAATTCCAGATAACATATCAGAACTCTGCTTTTATACTATAGTACCATGTAATATCATTGTTACAACTTCACTGGCCCAATAGGGTTACTAAGAATAAAAAGAGCCATTAGTGGACTAGCTTTAAAAGAACATATAAATGTAATAGTCATGCCATTCTGGTCTCTTCTTCTTAACTTGGCGACACATTGTACTTCTCCCATGTTAATTCTAGTGCCTTATATGAATTATGTAGGAAGGAACAAAAATCTTAATGTTTGGAAAATGAAGCAATCTCCACAGAATCGTTCTATATATTTAGAATGTATATTTAAAACTGAAGTGTCAAATAGGAACATACTAGGAAAATAATTTCTGGTTACTTTATATCTCAATACATGACCAGAAGTAATAACTTGTATTTTGAAGTGCAAATCTGTACGTATGTCCAATTGTAAATGCATTAGTCTCATTTGGAAAAGGGACAGTACACCAATAACATGCTACTGCTGCCAGTATGGAAACACAGTAGGACACAATAAGGAACACAGTAGTACAGATTTTTGAGAAACCAGATACATCTGGACTGAGATTGACTCAGCCCATCTTAACCTTATGGATAAACTACTGATAAAGACCTCTCAGTTCTAATAGTGACTTTCTTAAATTCAAATAGCCCACAAGATAGTCAACACTGCAGAAAACTGGCAGCAAAGAGAAAAAGAAATATGGTGGTCATCATAGTGTAGAAATGTATATTAATACTGCCCAATCAATAATTGTTGGAAGGTTGATATGTAGCAAGCATGATTAACCTTAAAGGTCTGCATGATCTTTTGTTATATTGATTTTTCAACCAGCTTATAAAACAATACAATTTAGATCAAGAATTAACAGTATAATCAGCTAAAACCCTAAAACTCCCTGCATAGGGAGAAATAGAATGTAAAATGCAGTAAACATTTAAATATCGTATTTTACCCTAAACCCTCACTCCATAATGTAGTGTAACACAATACTATTGCTACTGAAAAAGGTTTGCTATATCAAGCTTTCGTTATATTTATCCTTTTTTAATTATAGACTTACCAACACTTGGGCTTAACAATGTTGCAGTCTTCATAGTTCCCACTCCATTTTCTTTATCTTGATGACCAGCAAGTCGGTGACCAATGCTTTCAGCTCTGTGGTTACCTTCATGCTCCACTACAGTATTCTTAAAATTAAAAAAAAAAGTTTGATACAATTTTAATCAGATGCTTCTTTTATTCTTCTATATTGTCCTGAACATAGAGAGTGCCTGGGATTTCTAACAGGAAACCACACCATAAGAGAGAATGGACTAGCAGGCAGTGGCCATTAATAAGAAGAGGACAACAAGGGAAGAAGAATGAAAGCAAGACTAAATTGGTAAATGCTAACAATTAAGAAGTTTAAATCAGAAAAATAGCAAATATCTTCATGGAGCTAATGTCAGTAAGCAATTCTTCAGTTTTATAGATTATTTACCACTCATCCTATATCATACAACAGATTGAATTACCCTTCAGTCTTTATTACAAATAATAAACCAACAAGAATATTGTCCCAAAGGTGCTTTTTTTTTTCAAGAGGCAACTGGACTTTCTGGTTTTTCTTTGAAGATGTTTTGCTTCTCATCCAAGAAGCTTTTTGGATGAGAAGAAAACATTTTCAAAGAAAAACCAGAAAGTCCAGTTGCCTCTTGAAAAAAAGCACTTTTGGGACAATATTCTTGTTGGTCAACCATGACCTGGATGACCGGGAATCTCCATAGACAACAAGAATATTCTGCAAAAGACTGTTAGTAGCCTAAAATTACAAAAGTGGGCTTCTGACAAATGGTCAGATCAAACTGCTGTATTTTCCTCTTCAACTTCCAATCATAACCAGCTGTAATGAATTGTTTTGTGTGTATGTATCTGTGAATATTGGTTGCATGGAATTTATAGAAGCTACTATTTCCATTAAGGAGTGAAGCATGGTTTTATATATAGCTATATAGTACCTGTCTGTTGCTTCTTCCAAGAATGAACTTCAATCGTAATGACCTGCGTACCACTTCTTTCCGGCTGATTTTAGGAGAAAAACAACCTGTTTTTCCAGATTCAACTCTGAAAGGAAAGAGAGATAAGTTGACTGAATACTGTTCTAAACTACTGATGAAAACCACTTTGGTATAGTGGTTAAAGTAGTGGCCTAGAAACAAGGATATTATGAGTTCTAATCCCTCTTTAGGTATGAAAGCTGGTTAGATGGCTTTAGGCTAGTCACCTTTTCTTTCTCCATCCAATGCACATTATAGGATTGTTACTGTGGGGAAAATAGGAGGGAGGACTACTGTGTATGTAGGTAGGATAAAAATAAATAAAATTGATATTCTAAAATCAGCTAATTTACAAGGAAAGTAACTATTTAAGAATAAACTGGTTATAAAATAAAAAATAGCAACAAAAATGAGAAAAAGAATATCTACTGAAAATAGGTTGTGGGAGATCCATTCCTGAGTAGATAATAGAACATTAGTGTCAACTACAGAACTGATATTACTTTTTCATACAATAAACAATGAACTTTCAATTAATTCCTGGATATTTAATGTAACTTTCCATTCATGAAAACGAATACTAAAACTGAGAAGAGAGCTAAATATTTCTAAATGTTTATTTTATCCTTTATTATGAATAATGAATTATTATCAAAATAACAAAGGATAACGGCATTATATACAGAGGGAAAATATTTTACTATAGTAAAATAACATGAGAACCAAGAGATCAAGTAGCTTTCAAAAAAACCCCAGAGGCCCCTAAGATTTGACTCGGCCATTATGTTTAACACTGTTCAGATTATAAAACATTAACACTTATAAATATAACAAGAAATATATTATTATACCTTCTGTGCCTATTTTAACAAACATACCTTTGTACTTTTTTATTGGCAATCCTTTTGCTCCTTCGACTTCTTACAGTAGAGAGAGATTTCTCACAAGTAGCTGAGGTAGATAATGAAGCTTGAGATGTATCCAGAGACACAAAAGGGCTATCTTCAAATGGAGCTATAGGATTCACAAAAATAACATCTTATTTTAAAATTATTCTACTTAAGAATAGAATTTTTATGCATAAAAATGTCTCATTGGCCCCCACTTCTTGGTAACATTCTTGGTTTATTTAGAGAAATAAACTACAACCATATTCTTTCATATTCTGCTTAGTTAAACAAAAAAAATTATCTGGCCCAGGAATCTATTCTTTATACAATATTCTAAAAATAACCACTCCACAGGTTTTATTAAAATATTAATAGTTTTCATTTTTATTATTTCCAACTCATCTGAACATAAGAAAAGAATGTCTACCTCCAAGAGGAGAATAAACCCCTGAAAAAAACAGAACTGGACCAAATATGGTGTGAATAAAAGAAATACCATGTTAAAAAAAATGGACAGGATGTGGCTGGGGATTGCAGAGAAAAAAATCCCAAAAAATTCTTGCAATACATTCCTGTGACAAAGAAAGTTGGGCAATGGCTCAGAATGCATGTAGCTGTTCTGTTTAAGCCCCCTTCTCTTTGTACCACCGGGGTACTACTATATTTGTTTATTTACACCCCACCAACACAATCCCGAAAGGTTGTAGTATATTATGGAATATTTCATCTATGATTATCCTCATGGTCAGTTCAATTATTGATGATTTTTTCAAACACATTTAGGAATTTGTGCCAGAAATAGCATGTTAAGAATTCAAATTAGTCTTCAAAGATTCAAGGCTTTCAAAATTACTTGAATTTTTGTTTCTTTTCTAACAATGAAATATTTTCCAGAACTTTTAGATATAGTTCAGTGAATGTCTACTCAGCGATACTACACCAAACTATCATTTATTTGTAAATTACTCTTAAGACATGTGAAATGCTTTCAACGCTATGTAAATGCTATTAAGCAATGTGAAAAATAAAGAAAATGTCATGGTAGTGTTGTTTGTACAGAGTATTTCTGCATTGTTGTCTGTAATAAAGAAACGTGAGAGGTAGGAATTTGAACACCCAGAGAACATTGCTGAATATTTTTACTCTACCTGATCCAGGTGTTAAGCTAATGTTAAAAAGGGTATTTGGTAGCATTTCAGGACCCATGCTATGTCCAACAGATCGCCTTTTCTTGCTAGATAAGCGTTGACAAGAATCAGCAGGATATTTACGCTTACAATTTGGAGTAACCATCACTGGAGTCATTGATGAAAAGACTGTAAAGAAAAAAAAATGTGCAGTTAAATACTTAATATGGGAAAACATACAAAGTATAGATTATTAATGGCCTGTGCAGCACAATTGCAAATAGAAATTATTTGCTTCATCCTGCAATTAGCACTGTGAAGAACAATGAAAAGGAGAAACTGAAAAATGGGGGGAGGGGGAGGCTTACCCTAAAAAAAGAGGAACTTGTGGAAAACTGGAACAGTCCAACACATCTATTCTTTCATATTAAATATTTAAAAATTAACAACAGTATTCCTTCAAGTATGGACTAAACTTAGGAATGCAATTAATTATGCTTTTTAAGTCTAATTCTGTTCAGTTAAACAAACAAATGCAATGGATTTCATTCACAGGATATGTACAAGCCAAGTCTATATAGCCATTTGTTTTGGATGTCTTCATTTGGATTCCAATGCTGAGCAAAGAGTTAGATTTAGTGGTTTAAAGAGTCCCTTACACATATTGTTTACCATGTTTTGTAATGCTTATTTTAATTACATGTTTATATTCTTCCTTTCTTCCAAGAGCTCAAGTTGGCCTACATGAGCATCTCCATTTAATTTCACAACAGCAACCCTACGCAATATATTGGGCTGATAGAGATTGACTGAGTCATGTCATTTGAGTTTCCATGGCTAAAGGTGGACTTAAAACTGAATCTCCCTAGTCCTAGTCCAACACGTTAACCACTACATCACATACGTAAGATTAAGCACTGCATTGTCAAATGAAAGTATTTCTTTTTCTTTTTCTTTCCATACCGTTTGCCATTATTTTTTTAAAAATGCAACAATTACCATGTTTATTTTTTTCCACATATGAGAACAAAGCCATGCAATGTAACACAAAAGAAGGATTTCTTGTTAGCAATATAATAAGTAAAATGCTTTTGGAGCATGTATGCAAACTGAAATAATAGCTGAAATAGCCTTTTAGTTGTTACAGTGGCAAAGAACAAAATGGCACTAAGCTTTAATATGCAGCAAAATAAGCAGGCCATGTCTTAAGTGTAAAACTCAACTCAATGGAATAGTATATGTAAGGATAAAAACAAGTATTACTGACTTGCTTACATTGTAATCTACCATATACTATTCCAGTACTGTAATATTAACATGTTCAAGCCTTGCTGACATGGAGGGCTTCATGCAAATGCACTATACCTACCACATTGGTCTCTCTGTGGAGTAGTGGAGGGTGTTCTGTTAGATTTAAGTTTATTCAGAGCTCCACTAACAATATCTGAAATTGAAGATACATCAAGCAATCAACATTTTAATGTTTAATTTCTTTTTTTATTTAGCCCTTGATAAAGATTTGCATTTTTAAAACTTGAGTTAAAAAAAACAATTGCAGAAGGAATTTACTTATTACCTCCTATGCTCTGCCGTCTCCTTCTCAAGTGTTCAGAGGGAGTTTCAATTTCGCTTTCTTGATCATCATGGAGTACAGGGGTAGAAGCAGAATCATCAATGCCAAGTATGGATGGTATTTTTTGCAGGATAAACTTTGGTATTTGTCCTGAAAAAGATATAATTATGTTCTCAAAAAAGAACAACCCCTAAATAATGTTCTAATATCATAATACCAATCATCATCACCTTACCTATTTCTTCTGCATGATCAATCAATGTCTGCAGAACTCCAGCCTGCAAGCGGAGTTTCTTCTCTGTGTGTACAGATATTTTTTCAATTTCACTTGATTGCAAGAGATTTGGAGAAAAAATTACTGCTAGATTACAACTATCCATCTTGTTCTCAGCAGATCTATGCAATGAAAAAAATAGAATAGCTTTAGATTTCATATTTGTTTAAATATAACACAATTTAATATTCATTGTTCAAAATGCTAAATCAGCACTGATACTGAAGAGTTCTTAATTACTAATTAGTTACTGCAACTTTGGTTCTAGTATTTCTACTATAAACTTGATACAAGATTGCTTTCCCATGCTTGCTGCTATCTGGTGCAGAACAAAACAAAAAAAACCCAAAACATGAAAGTCTATCAAAAGTCTGGATAGGGTTTGCAACTCTTGGGGAAGCTACATACACCTTGGTGCAAATCTGAGTTTAAATTGTTTCAACGAGAAATCTTAGAATGAAATATTATTATAATCAGAGCATGATTTAGTCATTTATGCTTTCTAACTACATGCTCCAAAAGAAAAAGAAATATTCTTCCTAATGATCCTGACGAGGTGGCTCAAGTGGCTAAAACGCTGAGCTTATCAATCAGAAAGGTCGGCAGTTCAGCGGTTCGAATACCTAGTACAGGTTTTCTGCGTGAGCAGGGAATTGGACTAGATGACCTCCAAGGTACCTTCCAACTCTGTTACTGTTACTAATGCTTCATTTTTTAATTGCCTAGAAGTAGTTAAACTGTGATATCTTATCAAGATGATGTATTGTGAGGAAAATTGCTTACTAAAAATAAATGTCAAAATACACATATACATAATACAACTCTGATTAGTTTAAGGCATCAAAAATATTCCAATTCAAAAGCAGAAAATACTCTAAACCTCCACATCGTTATCATATCTTCTACAGTTCCACTGCAGGCATATAAAAGAGGGCAAATCAAAGCCAAAATCTTCATGAAATCTGCAGATTACCTTAGAGACACTTTTTTGAGAAACTGGAAGAAATATCTGAGAGTTTCAATTATTTCCTCATTTACAAGGCAGGAGATGAGTAGTGTAGCAGAATTCCGCTCCTCGCTGTCTAACTTCTGGGCCTTAATAAGAGCTTCTTGCAGATGATATGGAAGGATTGGCTCAGGCAATTCTCTGAAGAACTGCTTCAAAAGTCCTGCAACATCACATGGTAGTGCACTGGATAGGCAATTTTCACCTTTATCCACTTTATTCTAAGAATGGTAAGAAAATAAATATTGTCAATGGAGAAAACAGCATACTTTGAGAAATGGCAATGGAGATCTGGAAATGAGCTCAAATCTACTGAATAATTCAAGGTATTTACACATAGACAACGCATTTGGTTTTGGTATAAATTTGTGGAAAGAGCATGCAGAAACATTAAGCACATCAGTGTCAACACATCAACACTGTTAAAAATAAAGCAAAATGGGGAAGTGGTGTACCTTTAAAGTTTTTAAGCGAACAACTGATCCAGATTTTCTGAAGAGCCCCTCTATTTGAATATGTTCTTCCAAGTATTGACAAGCCTCAACTAAAAAGCTGATGAGAGGGAGGGAGGGAAAGAGAGAGAACACTTGAATTTAGCTTTTGCAATTCTGGTCTTAATTTGCCTATATTCAGATTGGTAAATATTACGTTAATAGGATGAGATATATAAAATATTCACTGTTTAATTCTGGACGAATTCTGGAAGTGCAGCTTCCTTTATTCTCTCACTAACAGCTTTGCGAAAATAAAAATATATAGTTACTTTTAACCTACTGCTCTTTCTCACCCTTTCCATTATTGCACTGTAATGCTAGAAACAAACAAATTCCACTCCATTAAGACAAGGAATCATAATGTCTCATGCTTATTGCATTACAGAGCTGATTATTGACTGTTATATTTTTGCCAAAATCTAAGCCTAATTTAAATATTACCTAACATATATTTGCCATATTTGTGAAGACTCTAGTTATAGTCAAATTGTAACTTACCAAGGTATATTTCCATATTCACATACAACTTGAGGTAATTCTTGAAGAGGTATTCCAAATACTTTTCCCTGAAAAATCAAACATGTCATTTAATAATGTAGAAAAATATGTTTCACTAACAAAATAAGGAACTAAAATCTAAACAGGCTTTTGGTATAAATCCATTTACCTCTTTTTAAATGTAGATATATTAGCAAACAAAAAAATAAGTTGTAGTTTGCAAGTCCCTTATTCTAGATTAATCACTAGACAATCATTCCAAAGTTAATAATTTAATTACTATTTGCATTTCAAACACTCCAACTCACTTTATTAACATGTACAAAATATCTAAAACTGAAAAAAGACAACCTTCTAAAAACTTCCAATGAAAGTCTTCTATATAATTTGTATTATAGCAGTAGCTTCTTAAATACTATCTTATGTGATACAGGTTTCGAATAACAGTTTACTTCATAAGCTGAAGTTACCCAATGGTATGTTAACCAGAAGAATAAACTACAGATAGCATTTATCTAATCAGATTGTGCTCTTTTTAAGCATAGGTATACTTGCTTACTCTGCAAGAATAAGTAACCACATGCTTCCTTGCTTTCCCTTATAGTGCTAAGATACAATATATGCATTGTATCTTTCTCACAAGGAGATGTAACAATCAACTTTTCTCTATTACTAAAATCATAAGGTATTAATGTATCTATCTTTTAATGTATCTTTTAAATTTTCCCTATTTTAAGAGTCTACCAAAAAGTTAAATTTGTTATCTAGAATTTAAAAGAGTTACAGAGCAGAGAAAAGAGGATCAATTCAATTATGCTTATTTGGACAGGGAAAACAACCTAGCAAAGTACATTTCTAATTAAATCAAGATGTTTTCTTTTGAGCCATTAACATATAGATAAGTATCTTAATCCTATTAATCTATTTTAATCCTTTTAGAAATATTTATCTTTTATGGTTATAATGCTTTTAATGATGCAAGCTACCCCGACCAAGTTTGAAATTAGATACTGTAAGTGGCAAATAAATCAAATAAATAATAAAGTCATTACTTGGTTTTATGCATGTTAAATCCTAAATCATTGCAACCTACAATCTCACACTGTATCCCTTCACAGGTAATCTTAATAAAATTCTTTGAAAGAATCAGTGAGTTATAGAAAAAGATTCCTCAAGCAAGGAAAACTGCAAGTAGTTTTACTCCCCGCATCTTAAGTTATACTAAATAGATCAAATAGTTTCCGGAGTGAAAACTCAATATCGGATCCAATTTTTTAAATTAACTGCCGTTAATTTTACTGAGACACAGACCAACAGGACTTTTCATATTCCCAAAGGTGCTTTTTCAAAAGGCAACTGGACTTTCTGGTTGCCTCCTGAAAAAGCACCTTTGGGACAATGACCTGGATGATTGAGAATCTCCATAGACATTTCTATATTCCCATTTTCAAAATCAAAGTAGCATTAATCACATTATTTTTATTGGTTAATCCATAGAACACAGAATAGGGTTGGAAATCAACCTTGAAGGTCTTCTAGTCCAACCCTCAAGAAGGAGATCCTATTCCATTCTGGACCAATAGCTATCTAATTGCTTCTTGAAAACCTCCAGTGATGGAGCACCCACAACTTCGCTGTCCTATTGATTAATTGTTCTCACTGTCAGGAAATTTCTCCTCGGTTCCAGAATCTCTCTTTAATACTCTTCCATCCGTTACTTCTTGTCCTGCCCTCAGGTCTATCTTGCCGCCATAGCAGGCATTGTTTGCTAACACAGATGCATGAGAGCAAATTACTATTGTTTGCAGATAGCTAATGTATTCCCATCCAAAGTTGTACAGGTAAATGAAAAGGGGGGATGGGAGAGGGGGAAAAGAAAGAAGATTATAAGAATAAATGTACAATTATGATGATAACACTGATAGGTAGTATAAATATGAAAAGAAACTGAAAGAAAGTATATATGATTAGAATACAGGAGTTGCTCGGATACCAAATAAAGAGTATATTCCACAGCAAAGTAGAAAGGAGAGAGGAGTAGAGGGTAGGAAGAGGAGAGGGAGGGAGAGCAATGGAAGAAAGGGAAAAGGAGAGGAAGGAAGGGTAGGGGACAGGAGTAGGAAAGAAGGTGAGAAGTGGGAAAAGAAGAGAGGAGTGGGGGAAAGGAAGGGGAAATAGGATGAGGTAGGAGAGGAAGGAGAAAGTAGGAGAGGAGGGAGGGAAGGGAAAGAAAGGAGAAGGTTTGGTGAGAAACGAGGGAAGAAAGAGTAGAAGAGCAACTCTGAATGTAATTAAAATGCCTTATTTTAATGCTTTCTTTAAGGAAAACATGTATATGTAGGATTAATTATGTATAAGAAAATGTACATTTTATATTATGTATATAAGAAATAAAACTGAAACACTTTAAAAAAAACAAACTTGTACAGGTAGTCTTCGACTTACAACAGTTCACTTTGCAACCATTCAAAGTTACAACGGCACTGAAAAAAGTGACTTACGACCATTTTTCACACTTATAACCATTGGCCACGTGATTTACATTCAGATGCTTGACAACTGATTCACATTTATGACAGTGTCTGGACAGTTGCAATCTCTCGAGGAATCATGTGATCCCCTTTTGCTAGCTTCTGTTAAGCAAACTCAATGAGGAAGCCAGTTTCACTTAACAATGGTGTTACTGATTTAACAACCGCAGTGATTCACTTAATTAATGTGGCAAGAAAAATCGTCAAATGGGCAAAACTCACTTAACAAATTTCTCCCTTGGCAATATACATTTTGGACTCCGTTGTGGTCGTAAGTTGAGGACTACCTGTGTTTACAAAGCCCTTCTTCTCAACGCCGCCCTTTTGTCCTCGGGAACAACTCAGGAAGCACCTTCGAGCGAAAGAGAAGCCCCAAACGAAGAAGGGCAGCTGCCTCGCTTCCAACAGACGTGGAAGCCTCGGGCCACTGCAACCCCTACGGCTTCGCCAGCGCCTTTACGAGAGTCCGCAAGGGCGCCTGATGGCGGAGCGTCCCCCTCAGTACCTTCCGACTCACCTCTCCCGCGACCGTCGACCTGGACGCTTTCCTCTTCCCGGTGCGATTCTTCAGCTTGATCCCGTAGGCGGCTCGGAGATGTTGCTGCACGGCCAGCTGAGCCAGCCTTTTTCCGGGACCATCCATAGCCGCCCTTCCGAACCGCCGCTGCTCTCCTCACCGCTCGACCGTCATCTCCTCAAGCCGCCCGTCCTCTGGGCGCAGGCCGTCAATCAGCCACTCAAACAGAGCGCCTGCCCAGCCCTGCTATCTGATTGGACGGCTTCTGTCTTCGAACTCTCAGGACCCCCCTGGGCGCCTTCAACGGTCACCGGGGTAAAAAAAAAAAAAAAAGGCAAGTCACGTCGAAAGCCCGTCATCCCGTGAGGAAGATAGGGGAGGGGATCGTAACGATATAGTTAGCTGTGGGGCCTTCGCGTTTTTTTCCCGAGTCCGTGGGATTAGGCGATTTAGGAATAGGGTCAGAGAAATAATAAATAAGCAAAGCATTCAGGCGATAGCTGTACGCACCTAAAGGTCCTCGCATTTAAAAATAAAACGTAGAGACACTAAACTGAAGAATGACTATTCGTGTTTTTGAAAGCTTTGACTTTTGATTCGAGTCTCTCTGATGGCTCTATGGACAAATGCAACCCATCGTGATTCCCTTTAGCAATAGTTAAAAAAAAAAAGTTTGAATAGCAAGTTCAAGCTAGTTTCGCTTTGCAGTTCTTGTGGTTCATATATGGGGGGGGGAGTAAAAAAAGCCATTTGGCAAAGTTATTTGGTGTTTCTCTCTAAAATTCGACGTCTGAGCTCTTTCAACTCCATGCCAACTGGGTGTCTGAGTTTTATGAGCAACATAACAAAAACTTTTAAGATCTGTGCTACTTCATCTAATGCAGTGTTTCTCAACCTTGGTAGCTTGAAGATGGGTGGACGTTCACCCATCTTCAAGCTTCCAAGGTTGAGAAACACTGATCTAATGAAACTGAACAAGAGACCATGGTTTGTTAGCTAAGCCAAGGTTGGCTGCGGTCACACAATGCAGCAAACCCAAAAGCTTGCTGTGCAGACGGGGTGTGTGTGTGTGTGTGTGTGTGTGTGCTGGTTAGGCGTAATATGCTAAGTTCATCATAGAGTATCTTTTGGGGGATAAGACTTAGGATTGTTGTGAAGGAAAACCAAATGACTTGCTTTGGTCTTGGTCACAAGGAACAAGGTAATTCAATAAGTTTCTTTTATTTTTTTGCCTTTGCAAAGTGAAATGTTGATTATCCTGCTAATCCTTTTGCAGTTCCACTAATTCAATGGGATTTACAATCAAAGGCCAAGAGATTCAACACTTGACATTTTATTCCATATGCCAATAGTGTAGAAGTATTATGATTATTAATAAGTTGTGGTAAAACTAGTTCGTCTCCTTGTGGTGTACCCTGAATAGTGCAGTTATGTGAACAACATGAAGTAGGAACTGTTGGCAGCCAAGCCATACAATAAATATTAATATGTTCAAGTAGCCTTCCCGAGATAACTTGTCCTTAAAGAATAAATAAAACTAGAATGAGTGCAAAGATTTTGGGTAAACCATCAGTAGCAGCATTAGATCATTTCTGTTTACAATATTGTGAAATGAGATGCATAACAGAAGGGGGCGCTCTTGCCTGAGACACTGAAAGTTCCTCCTGTCACCCACAATACAATATACACAATATTGGTTGTTGTTATTATGTTATATTTCACAATAAAAATTGTAGTATTTTATTTTTTATATATCTTTATATATGTAGATTGTTACAAGTAGTCTTCGACTTACAACCACAATTGAGCCCAAAATTTATGCTGCTAAGGAAGACTGTTGCTTTATTTTAAAAACTTTTTTTGCTACAGTTCTTAAGTGAATCACTGCAGTTGTTAAGTGAATTGTGTGATCATTAAGAAAATCTGGCTTCCCCTTTGTCTTTCCTTGTCAGAGGTCACTGGGAAGGTTACAAATGGTGATCACATGGCCCAGGACAGTGCAACTGTCAGAAATACATGCCAGTTGCGAAGTACCCGAATTTTTATCTTGTGACCATGAAAATGCTGTAATGGTTGTAAATGTGAAAACCAGTCATAAGTCAGTTTTTTCAATGCTGTTGTAATTTCAAACAGTCATTAAATGAATGGTGTAAGTCAAGCACTACCTGTACTTGGAAGTTTCTTGGAAGAATATATTTTAATTCTACAAAACTCTAGATGTTGAAAGAATCAGATAATTGCTAAAGATTCTCTGCCTTCTTTTAATTTAATTCAGTTATTGTGGTATCAGTTCTAAATTAAGTTCTCTGTTGGTGATCTCAATCTATTCTGAAATCTCTATTCAAAGTTATTTTAATTTAAATCCCTCTTCATCAAAGAGCCAAGAAGTTTGAATTCTTTCCTTTCAGCTTATGTGGAAAGATGAGTGAGCTGTGTATTATGATAAGAACAAAGGAATGTTCAAATTATGTTGTTAAGAAATTATGCTGCACAATTGTTCTACTTCAGTTGCCAGGGACATGTATTAAAATTTCAAGATATTTTCCTGATGAAAACTTTCAGACTTTTTATATAGAATAAGAAAGACTTAAAATAATGTATTCATAAGTTAATTCCTACAGAAAGTCTGGTGAAGAATCCAATAGACCATATAGCTTTTAAGATTTATACAAAAACTATTTACATATTGTAAATAGTTTTTGAATAACGTGTCTTGTTTTCTAAAAAATCAAATAATAAAATCAAGACACAAGAGAAAAAGTATATTGAAGGGTGTGACCACTGAGAAGGCCCTATTACATAGTTCCTGTAGATAGAATTTCTTTAGTGATGAGATCGTTGGCAAAGTCTCTCCAAGATCTTATAAGATGAATGCTTAATATTATGATTGGTCACACAGTTAGCTAGATGTTTAGAATGGATTTGGCTTTTTTATCCATCTATTGGACACCTTGCTAAGGATAGCAAATGCTGTTGTTTGATGGATTGTAAGAAAGGGAAGGAAGGAAGAAGGAAGGAAGGAAGGAGGGAAGGAAGGAAGGAAGGAAGGAAGGAAGGAAGGAAGGAAGGAAGGAAGGATAGTAGTGTTCAAGTGATGTTCCAGATGTTTTGAGATTACACCTTCACGGGGCTGTCTCAACACATGGGCCTGTTGGGCACTTGCCCATGGGTCCCACAAGCATAGGGGCCTTATACTAATCTGTGTATGTTAACCCTTCAATGGATCTTGTATCATATAAATACAGCAACTGTATAGCTTACTGAGTATTATTGTGTTTTTCAAGCCTCGTGTATTGTTCAAATGTTTATCATGTTGACTAGTTGTTGCTGCCAGCATGTTTTTAATGTTTCAATACCTATTTTCTTGCAAGTGCCAATAAAATAAATATATGTTTAATTTTATCAACCATTTACATTATTATTCCTGCTTACACTGCTTTGCCCAGGGCCCATAATGCTGTTAAAACGGCCCTGTCCTGAGTCCTGTGTCCTGTATCCCATTTGTCACCACATGTCCAGGAGCTCCAAAATCTGACATGATACTTTGTTGACCCAGGTGATGACCGATCTGGTATGGTTTCTGTAAATGTCTTACAATATTGTTTACAGGAAAGACATTATTCATCTGATGAGAGCTGTCCAATATAATTGAACCTCTGGCATAGCTTTAATATTCCTCAGAGTACACACGTCCACATTTTCATCAAAGTAGCAACAATAATGCATTAGAATATCTGCAACAAATACCATTCCCTTGCAAGTAAGGACTAGCAGGATCACAAAATAGACAAAGTAATAGAAAATGAAGACACTAAAGGGCTCCGGGTCTTTAGAATTGAAACAGACAAACCATATGGGATCCCAAATTTAACAATTGTCAATAATACAGATCAAAAGTACCTGGAGACAGTACAATAGTAGAAAAAGACCTGGAGAAAATCAGATCTGCAAATATAAATCAAATGACTGTGTCAAAAGAAAGCAAAGATAACAAAATACTAATAGACTCCTTGGGTGTAATCCCAAAACATCTGGAGCATCACTTGAATGCCATCAACATTTACAAAATCATGATCGTTCAATTGCAAAAGGCAGGTTTACTTACAACAGTTTTCATCTTGCAGTGATAGCAATAGTAATAGCACTTAGACTTGTATACCGCTTCACAGTACCTTACAGCCCTCTCTAAGCAGTTTACAGAGACAGCATATTACCCCCAACAATCTGGGTCCTCATTTTACTAACCTCAGAAGGATGGAAGGCTGAGTCAACCTTGAGCCAGTGAGAATCAAACTGCTGGCAATCAGCAGAATTAGCCTGCAATACTGAATTCTAACCACTGCGCCATTAAAAAAATCAGCCTATCTTAGGTTCTTATGAAGGACTTGATAGGTGGATAAAAATGCCCAATGCAGTCTAAACATCTGGTTGACTGATGAACTGTAATAACTATCATCATCATCCTCAAACTGAATGCTATCCAACTCTCAATGGGTTGGGTTTATCATACAGTTTGTCTGAACTCTTAGGATCTGGTCTGCCATTATTTTCTGTCTTTTTTTATAGGTAGAAATTTTTAGAGAGCCATTTTGGTGTAGTGGTTAAGACATCAGGCTAGAAACCAGGCTTTTTATGTCCCTTGTTAGGTATAAAGCCACCTGGGTGATCTTCATCCAGTCATTCCCAGCGCTAAGAAGGAGGCAATGGCAAACCACTTCTGCAGGTCTTGACAAAAAAACCTATCAGAAACTTGTCCAGGTAGTAGCCAAAAGTCAACACTATAGCTAAGAAATTCTGGGAGTTCAGGTGCACACATCTTGTTGCCAACTTTGAAAAATGCTGCAGTAGTGGGATACTATACTGTATCTTTTTATTATCATTTCAAAGTAAAAGACACAGAATAACAGTAATAGCAGAGCAGATTCTGACCAAATGGTAGAACAAAACTTTAATAAGAGCAGTTCACATTGAACCATTTAGTCAAAGCTGTGATAGGCTCCTCTTTGCTATACTGAATATGTTCATATGGAGGCTGGTCGGCTATCTATTGTGAATTATTTAATTTGAATTCCATTCCTAGATTGAACAGATATTTATTCTCAGTGGCCTCCCTAACTCTGCTATTCTAAGACTATGAGTTCAAAGAATTACTTGTATATATACTGTCATGGACTGACTGATAATAGAGTAAATATTTCTGTTATGTCTCTATGCTAGAGCTAACTGAAATAATTGCTCTGAAAATGTGTCATTTGCTTTGTGTGTTTCTGCCCTGTTCCCCTCAGCTCTCATAAAAGTAAAATTTAGAACATGTAATTCATATATTAGCCT